ATTCTGTTGGCATTCTGGTGGAAATTGTTTGACACTCTCCGGCCAACAAAACAGCATCATCAAAGTGTGGTGCCATTGATAAGGAAAGTTGTCCCAAATTCTGCTCCTGGCCAGAATCATGAGTGTGGGAAAGGAGGTTGTGTAATTTTGCCATTAAATGCCTTTTGAATTAAAATCAGGAGACAGATATGGGGAAAAGTTCATTCAGCAAGATTTATCCATGCAATTTCCTCCTGCCATCACAGGAATTTCCATTGGTTGGAAAATGTTATCTCACGAATTTTCCGGGGGGTGAGACTCCGAGGCGAAACTTTCTCCACGCGCGAGGGTGTTGAGAAAAAAATAACAAGATGCTGAGGCTGCGAAATTTCATGAAAAATGAATTGATGGAAAGTATGAGAGGAATTTCCCATATACAGAGGAAATGTTTCTTTCTCAAGTTTTCTCTGAAACATTTATCTTTTTCCGCATTGGCCACAAAGAAAGGCAAAAACTGCCAACGAAGCCTGTTAAAATGTGAGAAAATTTTTCCAATTGCCATTATCTCTGGGTGACATGAAAAACTTTTGCCATTGTTCAGACGGAAAGGCATCAGCAGAAAATTCCCTCAAATTGAGGGGATGCATTAAATTACCATTAGAATAGCAATCTTCTCGAGGGTGTCTCTTGCTTGGCTCGATCGAAATTAAATACTTTTATTGTGTGGCTCCGTTAAATTGATATTTAAAGATTATGTGCGCTTCCCCGCACGAGGGAAAACCTGGGTGCGGATTCTCTGTGTACAGACGCAATTCCGGAAGGGATGATGACGGAGAAAAGGTGAAATTTGTGGTGGTGGAGTGATAGTGAAAAATCATAAATTGGATTTATACTCAAGCGCCTCTTTTATTTGTATTCATGCAAAATCCACGCATAAACATAGATTAGATCCCGTGTTTCTCCTCGGAAAATTCTCTCTCCTCAGCACAAACTGCCGCCAATAAATATGATTTTGGGCTTAATTTCAGCGTCAATTCCCCACCGCACTCGAGTGGCAAGTTTCCCCATCCCCACTTGTGGGGGTGGGGGGCGAGAGCTTTCACGTGGAGCGGCCTCTCCGCCTCCGCAGCCAGAAAACTTGTATTTATGCCAAACTCCGTTTCCAAACATTCAACTTTTCTCCAGTGTGTTGGGGGGTGAAATTCATTTCTTCGGGGCACCCCCAGGATGAAGACGAAGGAGGAAGAAGTGAAATAGGAAAACGGAATATCCATAAATCAGTCCCCGTTCTCTTCCGGAGCCCCAGCCGAAAAAGAAAACTTCCTCTCAGCAAATTTCCCTCCGCCAGCCGAGAGACTTCGGAAAAGGCGCAAAAGGATAAATTTGTTGACTTTGCGAGAAGGGTGGCCCGAAATTCGGGGCGAATTTCAAATTCAGAGAGACCTTCAGGGGGTGGCCCGGGGTTGGAGATTTATCTCTGAAATTTTCATCTCAATTGCCAAGATAATTTCCAGCTTTTTTCTCGCGCGCGCTTCTATTGATCCTCTGGTGGAAATTCACCCTCAGAAATTTTCTCGACGCTCATTTGCCTAACAGTATGGATAATCCAGGGGTGGCGGAGGGTGGCGGGGAGACAGGAAAAAAGAGAAGTTTAGCAGAATTTCATTACAGCAAAAAGAGGTGCTCTATGTTTTAATTCACGACACAAAACTGAAGATTTCACGCTCACTTCCATACTTTTAAGTGAATTCTTGAGCGAAGGCATCGGAAAAATGCTACAGAAATCCCCAGAAAAGTTATGGCCAATGAGGTCAGATGAAATTGCGCCTTAAGTCTCTCCGGAATGGCAGTGCAACTCAATTGAGACGCGGTGAATCATCAATTGAATGACTGAACAAGCACCAAAAGACGCTTCTCAATTAAAATAGTGGGGATTTTGCAAGAGCGATGCAATTGCACGAGGAGCTCTCTTTCCGGCTCGAGTCTCCAAAGTGGCATGTTGTTGTCAGCGCAGTCTAATTTACATTCATTCTTGGGTCAATAAAAGCCAATTAGACCTATTGATTGGCCATTAAGGCGAGACTCCGACAAAACCCGTCTCCGCAGTGGCCTCTCGAGCTGATATAACCAAACTGGTGCTATTCCTCAAGATCGTAATTTATCAGGTCGCCAGACATTTTCATAATGGCGCGATTGTGCCTTTGCGAGGCACAATCGCGAGTCACATTCTGCATTATGTTTATTTTTCAATAAAATTGCCCGTTTATATTAATTTTTCGCTCCACCTCCAGATTCTTTTGTTCACGTTTTCGCTAGAATTTTAAGCGGAAATTCATGTTAGAGTGTCTCATTGTGGTGGAAATTCCTCAAAAGTTGACTTGAATTTTCACTTAATTTTCCCTCCGTCAGATCATTTACCTTTTCCTCGCTGCGTGGAAAGACAAGAGAGAGAGATGCCCCGAGGAAAAAGTCTTAATATTCTTCATCTAATTTCTTCTTCAGGAGCACACCTTTCGTCCTCACGCCCCCCAACTCACGCGCCCCTCCCCAGTTGGGGGGATGCAAAATGAAGGAAGCTGCCGCAGGGATGAAAGTTCCAAAAACTAATTAAAAGGTCTCTGCATCATTAACATGCAAAATTCCTCTATACGCCCAACTTTAATGAAAATTTATAAATATATCGGTGGTAATTAACAAGATAAATTTCCTTAATAAGGAACACAGACACATTTCGGGATGTTGAGCATTTTAATTAGAAGCGGAAACCAAATGGAGGAAACAACAATAGGTGGGCGCTTTAATTATTTTTTCGCCACTGAATTTTCCCTCGCAAAAGGCGTCGCCAGGATGGGAAAATTATTCTCTGGACCCCAGGACTTCATTCAAAGTCCATACATTTGGCTGGGTGAAAATTGCGAGAAAGACAATGTCCATTCTTCCGTCGGACAACTCTCCGAGGGGCGATACTTTAAATTCCAGACTCGATTTTTCACATTTTCCATCCTTTTCCACTGACTTTCGCTGGCAAAATGGGAAAATAAACACGGGAAAATGTCCTACAGCACACTGTACATAATTATTATTGAAGCATATATGAGTCAAAAGTGCCATTTCATTACGCTCCAAGTATCGATTTAGATGCTATCACTGTCAAATAATACATCCATTAGTGTGATAAGTCTTGCTCTTTTTCCTCCCTTTCGGCGGTATCTCCAAACTGTGTGAGGGTGAGGCTGTATTTTTTTGCAACTAGGGGAGAATCATTAACTATTTCTGAGGACAGAAAGCTTGACAGCAACTTGACTTGAGTTGAGAGTGGAAATTCCTCTGTGTTATAATGTATTCTTTCTGCAAAATATTTCTGTTTGATTCACTGCCTTGACTTTCTCATATTTCAATCGGTATATCGCAAAATTAACGGCCTATTTATTAATCATATTGCTTCATATGTAATATAAGAGGTGTATTAGCATATTAGAGGTCGGCGTATAAGATTACCATTGTACATTTATAGTCATCACTCATGCAGGTGGATCTAAATAACGCCGTTTTTGCCCACTTTTAACACAGCTGAAGTTTACAAACCAATGACCTGTGCAGAAAGTGAAATAAAATGCGGAATTTTTGTCACTTAACCACCCCTAAATTTACCCTCACAAAAGGAGTTAAAATGAAGCACGCATTATCCATTGATTGAGTGGGCAATTGTGAACCTGAACAATGCCACGAAACTTGATGTCTCTGTTAAGCTCCCACCCAATGAAGTGAAAGAGACGGGGCTCCAGATGACTCCTTCAGCTCCCAAGAGATCGTATTTTGTCCACCTCACGTCCCCGCGACTGGTTTGTACCTCTTATTGCTTCATTTTCTCAGGAAATTTATGTTGAAAATATTTAACGATTTGAAATTGTCGTGGGACCTAAGTTATTGCTTGCTTCGGCGTGTTTTTCAATCCCAAGAAAACCACCTGATATATGGAATATAAAATTGATATGTTACCCATCCCGCGGCTTCCCCCTCGAGCCTTCACCTCACCGTCCGTGGATAAATATCTCAGCTCCAGTGACATTTCAATCCCTCCGCACCGCCTCTGGCCTGCAGCAGCAAACGAGGCATTTATCTCGCTGGGCTTCTCTTTTTCTTCTCTCTCCCTGGAGTCAGAGAGAGCCACCTCAGGCGGCATCAATAAATCCCGTGTTGCCATCCAAGGAGTGCCCTCCAGTCCGGCCGCAGCTCGAGATTGGATCGAGAGACGGTGAAGTTTCCACGGGAAAATTTATTGGCACCATTTAGTTGTTGCCGCGCTGGGAGGATAGACAACATGGTCGGCAAGAAAAGGTGCCTCACTCAGGTATGGCTTCTCCAATGGGAATTGGAACGCTCGCTGTGTGAATAATTAAAACATAAATAAGTCAAGAGACAGCAGAGAAATCCCAAAGCGCAAATGGTGTCTTGTAGTCGTTTTATTAGACAATCTCTTGTTCAAGAGCAGAGAAGTCTATTTCATTCAATTCCACGCAGGAATTTCATTTTGTAATACTTGGCGGCGATTTTGGGGTTACGAAGACGATCTGATCTCGAGTTGATTTTGTAAGTTGCCTTGTCATTAAGTGCGACTGAAAAATTGCTGCAAGATGCGGAATTTTATATTCAATTTTCAACCATTGCCGGTGATTCTCCTCCTTCTCCTTTTTTTCCACATTTTCCGAGAGCGTGTCGCATTGAAAATTCCTGAAGGAGAAAATGTTTATCTTGTGAAATTGAGATTATGCAAATTAAAACACACATAGGTGGCTCATGCTGTGAGCTTTTATTATGCAAAAGCCATTAGGGCGTTATGACGCGAAAACAAACTTTCGCGGAAGGCGCAAGGCGAAAAAAAATCAATACAATACATATCCCATTATTGTAATTTAAATTTAATTCTGCGCCCCCACACACGGTATTAATTTAATTTTGCCCCGGATAAATATTTGCCACTTTAATTTACTCACACTTTTTGCTTTCTCTCCTTTTTCCAGGGACACGCGCTGAATGGCAGAGACAGAGAGAGAGAGGAAAGGGTGAGTTTTCGAAGAATGTAAAGTTTGGCTGAAGGAAAACTCATGAACATTTCTCTATTGACCATTATCAAATTATTGGCTCATTTTCCTCACATTTTGTCGCTGGTGGAGAGGCGATAAAAATCCCCCATTAGGCACTTTTAATATTGCCGCCGAGTGTGAAGGCGAAAAGCGTCACAGTGGAAGGACATAAAAGTCTCAGCGTGGAAAATCTCAAGATTTTCCACCCTCCATCGTGCCAGAGGGGAGCTCATTGTGTGCCGGGAATGCCTCTTCATCCCTCAAATGAATGAATAACTTAATAACTACGCCAGATTTGTCCATCGCGGCCATTTGAGAAGTTTCACCGCACTTGAAATTCAATGGCACGTTAAATGGATGAGAACAATTGCCAGCGACGATGATTAAAATTCTTTTGTCATGTGGCAGAGGAATCGTATAATGGCCAGTCATAACAGTTCAAAAAATATATCTGTGCGATGTAGCGAAAAGCTCCCCTTTGCAGCATATGCTCGATGCGAATTAAAGCAATTAAGCCTATCACCTGAGAAATTGCCACCGCCTTCCACCCTCTCTTGGCATGTCAATTCTGTCAGCAGTAACTCAGCTGAGAGAGTGTGCCATTGAACTTGAAGTGACACTTTTATTGGCCATACGATTAGTGTTGAGTGCATTTTTAGTGGGTCGTAAATATGTGAAACGACCTTCCCGAAAGGCATAAAACGTATGTGATGACTTGTTTTGTCGGGGGCTCTGACTTGGATGGATAGGTTGTGTCTCAACAATTTAGTCTGTGATATCCTGCAACACTCACCCCCACCCTTGACTGTCTCGGCCGCCAGGATCGCCGAGGACAGAGGCCTGACGTGCTGTAAGGAATGTGATCCCAGGCGGATGTCATGTCTAATTTGCAGCAATGTAAAGTCATTGAGCATTTTCTGCATTCCTGCAAAATTATTTTTTTTATATCGCACTATCATCGAAACAGTTGCGAAATGCTAATGAATTCGACATTAATGAGAAAGTTTATGCAAATTTCAACATAAAAATTTCCGATCATGGCTTTTTCGACGTAACCGAAAGTGTTTTTGAGCAATTTCAAGCTGAAATATAGTTTTTCTTATCTGGAACAAGTTTGAGCTTCAGACATGTTAGCAGATGGGAATTATTGTGAAGCTTCACGCAAAATTCCTGCGAGAATTTTCTCACAAACAGCGGCTAAACTTCAAAGATAGCGAGTTTAGGTGCGCCGCCTAGACTCTCAGCTGCACCCTCACTCATCAGGGATGATCTTGGACCAGTGTTGCAGTGCCAAACTGGCGGCAGAGCGACAAAAAAATGGCCCCCGGAGACTGGAAGGAAGGGTGATTTGTGCCATCTTCGCGGCACAGCAATTTAATGGATATAAAAAATTTAATAACCATCACCATAAAACGCACCCCTTATTGTTGGCCACCCTTCTAAGGTCTTTTCTTCCTCGTTGTCTTCCACGGAGATTTAATAAAGGAGCACAGTGTGAAATATTCTCCTCCACCTCATGGCGGAATTCCTTGATTTCTTTCCGTAGGCTCACATCTTTGGTGATCAATTTATCATTTGCAAGAAATCGTTTTCTTCCGCGTGCCCTGCCTTGGCTCCTTGCGCTTCGCCCTGAGTAATTTTTAATGGGATTGAAATGCGAAGCCGAGAGGGGGTGGTTTCTTGGGGCGCACACAAGAGAGAAATATCTGAGCATATAAATGTTATTTATAAATTCGCTACATTAAAATGAAAAGAACATCGCCAGCGCATGAGCATTACATGGCCTTTTATTGATTTCAGTGCCACTTTATGCTGTCATAAGAATGAGACTGCGACCGACTGGCAGTGCAGCGAATGGGGTGCGTCCCAGTCTAAGGTGCGATTCTTATCATGATGCCCCATTTCGCTCAGTCATGGACGCTTAGACTGGGTTCCGCCCCGCCACCCATTGGGGGTGGAAAGCTCACAGTCTAACGGAAGTTTTCTCAGAACGACTTCTTATTGGTCGTAGTCATTTTAGCGCAACATATAAGAACGCTCAAAACGATCTCCTTCTGGTCGTTTCTCCCAATAGGTGTTTTCTTCTCGCTTCAATTCACATTTTCAATTTTAATTGACCGCCTCTCCACCTCCCAGTCCACCTGCGAGCCTCGGGGCGCCCCAAGGTGTCCCTGGGGGCGCCCAGCCTCCGGCAGGACCCCATTTCTCGCTGCGAGTGCCCCCACTTCGCCGCCAATCTCGCCTCCAATGCCCACCCAGTGGGAGCTTCAGCTCGGAATTCGCACGAATCGCGTATGAGGAATAAATCTTGAGAGACATTCTCTTGGGGTGGAGTGGAGGGAAAAAAAATTAAAAAGCGACCCCCAGCGTGGGAAGAGCACGAAAATGGGGAATGCCAAGATATACCCATAAATAGCCACCCATGAGAAGGGATGGAGCGATGCTGCGGAGGAGCAAAAAAAACTTAATAATTTATTTATATTGCTAATGTACATCGAACCGTGTTGTTTTCTTGCGGGAGTTTCTTCTCTGTTTTTGGTGCCATTACGGGGAATTTATTGACAAAATTTAGATTGCATTTGATACTATTTCAACTGGCTGTTTTTTCTTTGTGACTCCCCAGGAGCGGGGGTTGATTCATGACGCCACTTAACTTCTTCTCTCTTGTGGGGCCTTCGATGGCGCATTTTCTGTCCTCCGCGCAAAAATTATCTAAATCTCTCGAAATGACTCTCTCCTTGGCTCAGTTTTCTCAAGATATTGTGGCTTTTCTTTTTCCTCAATCCACTTTCCCCTTCTCTATTTCTTCTTTTTTTCCGCCCACCCCAGGAAAAGGGGTGGGATAATGAATGATGCTATTGCTAAAATTAAAAATACCACCAAGGAAGATTTTCATTAAAAACACGGAAAAGTCGGGTGAAAAAATACCCCCAGGCGTGCAGGAATCATCGTATAATTTATGAATGTATTTTCTGCAATATTTAAGCAAACATGAGACATAACAAACATGAACTTGCACAACATACCACCTCTAATGGGACTATCGTACAAATATTGCTCCATGACATGCTGTATAAGGAGTTTAAGGGTGTGTTTTATTGCCATTTTTACGATTTCGATGTATCGCACCCCTTGAGCTGCCACGAATAAAGCACCCCAAAGGCATAGATTCCTGCGGAAACAGTCAAGGTCCTTTCCTTGCCATTTTTGTCGCTCCACTGCAAGATACATTGGCAAAAATTCCTACAAGTGCAATTCTCAGCCACAAGAATTGCATCAAAAGAAGGGTTTTGTTGCTTGAAGGAGAAAAAAAGAAACGGTCGAAAGACATAAAAAACGTGTCATAACTTTTTATGATTTATTTATCTCTTCCTCGAATTCCAACGGCTTGCAAGCAGAACATTTCAGTGTCAAATATCCCATTCGTGTCCTTCATACTAACGATATAGACAGTCATTGTCACCCCTCATTATCATATTCATTAATGGGAAGAAACAATTATTGCTGCAACCCCTTTCCTCAAAGCTGTCGGACGGAGACAGAAAAGCTCGTCATTTGATTTGCATTTATTGCCTCCCAAGAGTCTCTCGACAGGACTAATTAACAAGAGCGTCGAGTGGGGTCCTCAAGGGGGCAATTTTACGCATTTGTCGGAATTTTTTGCTCTCTGTTCACTGGAATTTAAAATCTGCAGCTCTGTTTTGGTGTCAATACAATAAATGGGTGATTCCGTATTCTGAATGTCACTGCCATAGACACGACATCATTAGGCGAAATATTGAGCCGAAATGCTCCACTTGAACACACACAGAAAGATGCTGAAAACGCTTGAGAGTACAAATGATGTAAGGGTGAAAAATTGGAATGTGCAGAGGCTGGAATAAAATGAAATGATGCTATGCAAATGTCCGCATTTGCAACTGTCCTGTTAATTGACTGGCCACTGCGGCGAAAATTACGTCATTTGCTCACTGAGTCATCGGATGTATTTCGGCGACCACGCAGATGCTTTTTGAGAAAAAAAATGAGGTGATCTCGTGAATGTCACGCTGAGTCTTCGATGGCAAATTAATTTTGAAAATCACACACACACACTGTAAAAACCACAGAACCTGGCAAACGACCTTTTTCGATTCCCACCCACAGGCTGAAGCATAAAAAGTAATGCTTTTGGAGCAGTTCGAGGAGATATCTGAGGCGGAAAAAAGTTGACTTATGACTCTGTGAGGAAGAAACCTTTTGCACTCATAATGCTGTGAGTATTTATTTTCCGGCAGAGACATTAAGAACACGTTTCTAGTGGAAAAGACGTGCCTGGATTGTTAAGACTGCGAATTTCCTCCTATTTCAACCCCTCCCGCTGCCACGAGTCGCGTGAGAAGGTTCGAAATGGCGCCCTTTTGGACTCCACCATGGCTCTCAGCTCGCGAGACAATGGGAAAACGATTTTTTCCACTGTCTCAGAAAGTACAATATTTAAATTATTGCCCGTACATTTCTGACGTGATCTCCATGAAGCCAATATCCATTTTGAACATTTTCTAGGACTGCCAGGAGTGCCAGGAGTGAAAATGTCATTCCAATTCCTAGTTTTACATAAGATATGATTTTATGAAAATTTTTTAATTTTCACCATGCCACGCTTGAGAGCATCTTTGGCTGGCAATGTGAAATATTTCACTAGTTACCCTCCGATATTCAGTGAAAGGGTGGCTTCCCTGAGTGATTATGCATTTCCATCCCTCCGAGAAATTCCTTCTAGTTATGATTAATGGGCCACGGTGGGCGGTGACGCGCCTTGTTTTCTTTATCTTCACAACCCCCCTAAAACACCCTCAGTTCATTCTTGCATAGTGTTTTTCTGGGCATGGAAGAAGGGGAGGAAGAGTGGCGCCCGAGACAAGAAAGGAGCCATTAGCGAAAAGCCATTTTCGAGATTACATTTTATTCACTGTGAGAGTGGCATGGATTAAAAACGTCCCCCTGTGAGCATCCCATGCAAAATACCCGGTGAATTGTCTCGCCAAAACATTAGAGCCAACATGAGTATATCTCATTGTTAATGGAGCCCGCTGGCAATTGCAGCACTACCCTGTCTATCTGAGTTCGAACGCATAAAATGCTCATGCAGTTGGGGTATCTCGTGCTGCACAC